TGCATATCCCAAAGAGCAGACACTACACTGGCTGCCCTGTCACAGGGCCTAGCGAGTCCAGAAACCCATTCGGATTTAAACTAGGAGTGTTGGCTGGAAATGCAGGGATTGGTTTAAAGTAACACTTCATCCTAACTTGTCTGTACACTTGACTGTCTCCTCTTACTTTTCAGTTCTGAAAAGGGATCTGTCGCTAGGTAGCTGCCCAGGCACCTGGGCCTCTTATTTTTTTTTTTTTATTGTGATGTACTTTTTCGTACATGGATTTGTTCCAAGTGTTCTGTTCTTTTGGGTAGAAGTGGGCTGTGAAGTGGCAGGAAGAGTCTCATTGCCTGACATTTCAGAGCCTCACCAGTAATGCCTCCTAGGAAAGCTTAGTTTTCTCTCTTCTAAATCTAAAGGCCATAACTACTCTCCACCTGGCAGTGCCCTAACCATTGTTGTCTCAGCTGTTCTTCCCTGGAATTGCCATCCTTCAGTGTGGGGAAAACCACTAACCTGACTTCAGGGGTCCCAGGGGCGGGGGAGTGGGCCGATGTTTCCCCTTTTAACACATCATTGCGTGGCTGAAGGTCTCATTTGCCTTTTGCTTTGAAAGATGAATGGAGATGACTGTTCCAAAGATGGGGAAGGGTAGAGCATTTTGCCAGCATTGGCTGTGGCAGGCTCTGGGGAGGGAAGCACCAACTGCTGGCTCACCTGTGTAGACAGGACCTAGTGGCATTGCCACCATCTCCCTGATCAAACAAGGCGCTCTTCCTCAATCCTTTTCTGTGCATTTTTTTTGTGAATGGGTTTCCTGGGCAGACAAGGTGGTATGGGGGCCTGATAGAATGCAGCAAACAGGACACTTCTGATTACTGGGTTGTAGGGAGGGGGACTTGGGAACGGGAGTGCTGTGAAAGTCTGAGCGAAATCAGGCTTGTTCTAAGCATTCCATCACAATGTTGGAACTGAACTTGTTGGCCAAATAAAGTTGAGATTTTAATACTATCCTGTGTCTGACTCTAAATGTCAAACCTAGAGCTCATTTTAATTAGCCTGTTTCCTGATCCCCAGCTGCAATTCTGCAAGAGACTCTGGGGGGGGTCTGAATGTGGGGGCAGGAGCCAGGAACCCCTGAGTCCTGCAGCTGACTTGGTGATTGGGATAAAATCCCTTAACCTCCTTTTCCCTGTCTCTAAAAGAGTGATCTTGACCCTCCACTTGAAACATGCAGTGCTGTAGAGGAGCCAAGGACTTGTGCCTTGTTGAATCATTGCCATGATGAGCAATGCCAGAGGTTAGTGAGAGGAGCATTGAGTCAGATCATTAAAAAAGGATCACTAAAATAAATTTCTGCAATGGCCATGCCAGCTTGCCTTCAACTGTCCAGCCAGACATTGTGATGGTTTTAGACCCAAACATATGCTTGGCCCAAAGGCTCATGGCCTTGTCTTCTTGCAGACCAGTGCTGGGGCAATACCATATACTTGGAAGCCAGAGTCCACTTTGTTAACCAGCCCCACAGTAGTTGATGGCACCTGTCCTCTACAAGGGTACCTGGCTGTTGGAAGTGAAATGTCTGGACTGTCCTAGGTCTGAGTGGGAGCAACTAGGGAAAATGTCCCTTGTTCCTGAGAGCAGCCTCTGGGTGCAGTTGGAATACAAATAGCATTTCAGCCATCTTGTGCCAGGACCTCTAATACCCTGCCTAAGCCTGCCTGCACTTGTGGGGTAGCTGCCTACTAAGACAAAAAACTGTATTGCCAGCAGGTGGGCTGGATTTGGATGCTTGAGGTACCAATCAATCCCAGATGCCACTGGCTGAAAGCACTGTTCTAGAGACATTACCCTCAGAGTTAATCCCAGGAACCTGCATTCAGAGAACTTGGTGTTTGTTGCTATGCTGCTCAGGGTCACATGATCTCACTGATCCTCCCTGCTATTACCAAGCTAGCTACTGACCACCAGAAATATTCTTGTAAACAAATATTCTGGGTCACAGGAGGGAGGAGGGTTCCTCTGTAAGGTGGGTCTTTCTACCTGAGCCACACGGCCTGCTTGGGGCAGTTTGCACCTCGCTTTGCTGGTTGTGGGGTTAGGTGGAGGACTTCGGTCTCCAAGGCTATTTTCTTTGTGTGTAACGTGACAGTGCTACAACTTCCCAAGGAGGTGTGTGCTGGGGTGTTCCCCAAGCTTTCCCCATCTGCTGGCACTGCTGCTCAGGCTCCATCCTGCAAAGGGAACCAGAGGGAGTCCGATCACAGCTCTGCTACCCCAGAGGAAAGCTGGTCACGGACACCTTTTCCCTTTGTGGAAGCAGCTGCTTTGCACACTCTGGCAGAGGGAGAGGGGGGAAGAGGCTTTTAAGATGGTTACTTTGCAAAGGCTTTTTGGCTGGTTACCACCTCCAGAAAATCCATTTTGCAGCTGGGTACATGGCCTGAGCCCTTTACGCCTGGGTTTGTCCGACACAAACAAGACTGAGCTCTTTAGTGGTTGCCCTCTGAGCACAGGCATGAGCCTGGACAACTGATCCAGTGGTGTGAGCTTGTCTCTTCCCCCGCCCCCCTCCCCAAATCTGATCTGAGGGGATCACTCCTAAGCCTGAGTCTCTGCCTTAGAGTCTAACAAACAAATGGGGGTGGGTCTGGGGGAGAATCTCAGCTGAGCACCAGCAGTGATGACCGTTTGCTGCCTGCCCAGCTGTTGTTGTCTTGAGTTCACAGGAATTGCTGCATAGCTGACTTTGTGCTGAACCTCTGCTGGCAGCTCCCAAAGGAACATGAAGTTTTTGTTGGCTTTTGCCCTCTGGCAGGGCTTTCCAGCCAGTCTGGGGCATGGATGACCCCTGGGCATTGAGATTAACATGCTGAAAGTTTCAGCGTAGTTCTATCTGAAGCAATGGGAGGGGACTGGGAGAACAGATGTTGCTGGAACTCCTCTGCTGCTCTAGTCACCATAACTAGGGCTCCATGTCAGTTGTGGATTCTGTGATTTTTTTTTTTCCCCCATGACCTTCGTACAGGGGTGGGCAAACTACAGCCCAGAGGCCACATCTGGCCCTCGAGCTCCCACCAGGAAGCAGGGTCCAGGGCTTGTCCTGCTCCAGCTGGGGCGCAGGGTCAGGGTCTTGCCCCACTCCGCACGACTCCCAGAAGCAGCGGCATGTCTTCTCTCCCTCGCCCCCCGGCTCCTACACATAGGGGCAGCCAGGGGGCTCTGCACGCTGCCCCTGCCCCAAGTGCTGCCCCCGCAGCTCCCATTGGCTGGGAACTGCAGCCAATGGGAGCTGCAGGGGTGGCGCCTGTGGACAAGGCAGCATGCAGAGCTGCCTGGCCACACCTCCACAAAGGAGCCGGAGCGGGGACATGCCGCTGTTTCTGGGAACTGCTTGAGGTAAGCGCTGCCCAGAGCCTGCCCCCCTGACCCTCTCCTGTGCCCCAGGCCTGATCCTCCTCCCACCCTCTGAACCCCTCGGTCCCAGCCCAGAGCACCCTCCTGCACTCCCAACTCCTCATTCCCAGCGCCCGCACCACCAGCCAGAGCCCCCCTGCACCCCAACCCCCAATTTTGTGAACATTCATGGCCCGCCATACAATTTCCATACCCAGATGTGTCCCTTGGGCCAAAAAGTTTGCCCACCCCTGCCTCAGTGACTTCTGCGGCAGCCAGTGTGGCTGATCCCAGGGCCACCCAAGCGGCTGGCCTCAGGGACAGCTGCTCAGGTGGCCTTAGGGACAGCCGGGACAGCCACTGCTCAGGTGGCCCTGGCAGCAGTCCCAGGGTGGCGGAAGCAGCCACAGTCTGTGGCCCCAGGCAGTGGGCCCCAGGTGGCCGGCCAGAGCAGTTGCTGCTGGGCCCCTGAGCACATGTCCCCTCTGATTTAGTCGCAGGTATAAGTCATGGACAGGTCACGGGCAGTAAATTTTTGTTTATTGCCTGTGACCTGTGCATGACTCTTACTAAAAATACCTGTGAGTAAATCATAGCCTTAACCATAACTGATCTGTGAGGATCCTCACCCAGCAGATGGCCCAGTTCAGACAGGTGCTGGGGGAGCAGAGAATGCAGCAGGAGCCTGCAGTAGGAGTTCTCGGCGTCTCTGAAGCTCTGCTCTGGGTGCTATTCTCTTGCCTGGCCCTGCCAACAGCCACAGGACCAGGCCTGCGGCCGCAGTTCCAGGGAGCCTGGGGTGAGCTGCCCTCCAAGAGGTGCTGCTCGAGCTTCTGCTTCCAGGACCAGCCCTCCTGCCCTCTGCAGGACATCGTCTGGAATCTGCAGCTCTGAGGCTCGGGCCCAAGCCTTGCCTGAGTGGGGATCTGCCACAGCCACTGGAGCGTGAATGACCTCAGCCCTAACCTGGCGTCTGTGGCTTTGACACAGCACTGTTTCACGCCTCCGCAAGCTGCTGCATGCATCAGTATCTGGCTTCCCAGGCCTGTTCCTAATGGACTCTTGGTAGCAGGGCCGGCTTTTGGCACCGTGGGGCCCAATTCGAAGGAGCTGCCGCCGAAGTCCTGTTACTGTCTGCGGCAGCAGCTCAATCGCTGCCGCGGAGGAAGGACCCTCCGCTGAAGACAGCGGCAACGATTGAGCGGCACTTCAGCGGAGGGTCCTTCCTCTGCGGCAGCGACTGAGCTGCCACCGAAGACAGCGGCGAGGCTTTGATGGCAGCTCCTTCGGGATGTTGCGGGCCACGATTCCGGGGAATCGGCTGAATCGCCCTAAAGCCGGCCCTGCTTGGTAGACCTGGTTTCCATGCCACAGGGAGCCTGCAGCGGGGCCAGGGGCTGCATACGCATAGGCAGCAGCGGGCTTGACCCTTTAGATGGGCACATCAACAAGTCGGCTGTAAGATGAGACTCTAACTTGTGCCAAAAGTGGGAGGCTGGAGGGCAGGGCAGCTCTATTACAGCACCTCATGGCAAATAGCATGAGCTGAATGTCCCCAAAATAGCCAGCAGGAGACTATATAAGGGGAGCTGCCAGTGGAGCCCGTCAGCCCCGAGCAGGGAGTCTGGCACTGAGCTCGGTGGGGGCTGGGAACACACGTAGCTGCCTCGCTGCTCTAGAGGGTGGCTGTTTGCGGCTGCCAGGAGAGGCCCCTGCAGAACTAGCGGCTCCGGCACTCTTTGGCCTAAGGAGGAAGTGACCAGAACAGGGGAGAAGAGTGCGCAGTGCTCTGACACTGAGTCGGGGGGGGTCAGTGCTGCCTCCTGCACCTGCTCACCCAGGCTGTCGCAGCCTCACTGTGTCTGCCCTTGTGCCTTCTCGCTGGCTTCACAAGGTGCCCACCAGTATGAAATACTATGACCCGGCCTCGCTGCCCCGGTGCCGCGGGTGCTCCCAGCGCCTCAAGCCAGCACGGACAGTGCGCTTCCCCAATGACGTTGTCTTCCAGGACAACATCAGGCTGGGGGACCTGGAGCAGGTGGGCAGGTTTATCCGAGCCAGGAAGGTCACCTTGAGCACCCTCTACCCCTCCGGTGAGTAACACCCGCTGTGGCGCTGGCAGAGCTAATGGGCGGGCAGCAGCGGGGGGTTCCCGGGTGGGTAAGCCTGCCCCTGCAGGGATGTGCCAGTCACAGCCTTACCCCATGCAGAGCAGAGCGTTAGACTTTCACCCCATTGTAATTAAGCCACTTCATGCCCTGCTGGTGGTGGTGGAGGGGGTCTTGCTCCCATCCCCCGACTAGCATCAATGGGAGCCAAGTGGTTCAATCCCTCTGGGGGAGCTAGCCCAGCACCAGATGCTGATGGGCACCCAGTAGTGTGGGAATGCATCACCCCTAGCAGACACGGACAGAGCCAACCCTTCAGTGCAGAGGGGTTAAAGCCCGGGACCTTGCCCCTTGATGTGCACAGCACCATGTACAGTAACTACAACGTGCGAATGGCCAGAGTCAGGGAGGGGAACGGCAAGGGAGAGGCCCAAAGTAGCATGAGCTGGTGACTAGAGCACTGGACTAGGAGCCTGGACTCCTGGGTTCCCAGCTCTGGGAAGGGAATGGGGCCGAGTGCTTAGGGGAGGGGGGAGCCAGGACTCCTGGGTTCAGTTACCAGCTCTGCTGCTGACTCACTGAGTGACTTTCCCCATACGTATGACTCTGCTGCCTGCGTGTAGGGCTGGGGCTAGTCCGATGAAGGAGTTGGTGCGGGCGGGGGCGGTGTGACGGCCTGTGTCGTTATTACATGGTTGCCCCTTGTGGCTTTGCCTCAGCCTCTGTCAGAAAAGGCCCTGGAGACCCCCTCTCAAATAGCCCTGGCTTGGGTGCCAGGCTCCCACCCAGCCACACAGATATGACTTCAGCCCTGGTTCTGAACCGAGTGTCCACACCCAGGGGTGAGGGACTCAGGGCTGAGGCCTGGAGGAGACATAAAGGCTATTGGTGGCAGAGCTCGGGGGTGGATTGGCACGTCACTGACCAGCCTCCCTGCCCCCAGCTCTCCTGCCTGGCGCAGCGGGGGAGGGAGGGGGGCTAGAGAGCCTGAGCCACTCAAGGAGCCATTTACGGGGAAAATATGACCTGGCGCCAGCTCCTTTCTGGGGTGCGGGGGAGGGGAGCTGGGTGTTTCCAAGCTGGGGCCCTTCCCCCATTGTCTCCTCCCAAAGCCCCTGCCTCGTGTCACGTCCCAGAACCCAAGGGGCAGCGCCCTGGCCCGGTGAGGGCAGGTCCCTCTGCCTCCCCATGGCCAGGCAGGTCAGGCCCCGCAGCTGACGGGTCCCCTCTCTAGGCAAGGCAGCCCTCCATGAAGCCGTGCTCGCTGGGAACCTCGACTGTGTCAAACTGCTGGTGCGATACGGTGCGGACATTCACCAGAAGGACGAGAATGGCTGGACCCCCCTGCACATGGCCTGCAGCGATGGCTACATTCACATAGCCAGGTCAGCAGTCACCATGTGCTTGGCTTAGCCCTGTGACAGTTACCCGGCCAGCCTGGGCTCCGGGAGAGTGGGGGCAGGGTGTGCTGGCCTGGGGCTCTGGGAGGAGTGGGGGACAGGGTGTGCTGGCCTGGGGCTCTGGGAGGAGGGGGGCAGGGTGCTGGCATAGGGCTGTGGAGAAGCAGCCTGCCCCACACCCTGTGTATCTAGGGTTGCCAACTCTGACTGAAGCTATTCTGGGAGATTTTTCCCCCCAACATGACATAATATCATTTTCTTAAAATATCCTATCAAAATCTCCTGGATTGCTTTCAACAGTCACCGGGAGATAGATGCCGATTCCAGGAGACTCCAGGCCAATCCTGAAGGGTTGGCAACCCTATGTGTACGTGGTAGTTGCCAAGGCCTAGTGTTTCCTGCTGAGGCCCGGAACCCCCTTAATCCTGCAGGAAGTGGGGCTGTCTACAGGAAATGTTGGAAGCACATGTCTGCTGTCCCCTGCTAGGCTGCCTTGCCCACCCGCCAGCATGGGTGCTGGGGGTGCTGCCACGTCCCCTGGCTTGATGTGGATTCCATTATACACAGGGTCACAGGGTTTGCAGTTTGGGTCACTGGCTCTCAGGCTTTCCCCCCCCTCCCCCGCCGTGCACATTGTTCCAGCACACCTGCCCGCCAGTGCAGCCCCTTCCCTCTGTCTCCTGCAGGTACCTCATCTCTTTAGGGGCCAGGCTTGATGCCACCAATGACGAAGGGGAGAAACCATCTGACCTCATCGACGCTGACTCCAAGGACCTTGTGGAGCTCTTTAAAGCTGCCAGGATGGACTGAGGCGTCTCTCCCTGGCGTGGGGCTCCTGTCGCTCGGACTCTCCAGCAGCGGAGGTGGGGCAGTGCAGTCGTCAGTCCTGGGGGCTGCTGATCAGGGCAGTTTAGGGAAAGCAGAGAGTTTTGCTGTAACGTGTGCATAGGAGAGTCTAGGGACAGAGAGAGTTCACCCAATAACTACACTGCAGGGCTGCGAGCTACCTCAAGCTCCCCAGAGCCCCCGGATCGCCAGGGGCACCATGGGGAGAAACTGACCCTTCTCCACCGCTCTCAGCCCCACCGCAGAGCCAGTGTCCATCTTCAGCTAAAACTGGATTGGCCAAAAGAGCAGTGGTTGGAACGCGCTGGTTCTGGCTGGCACGGGTGTGTGGACACTGAAGCAGCGGGGGTCTGAGCTGGCACTGGGTGGGCTCTGCTGTGTGGAAGCACATGCTGATCGGGCCCAGCTGGCGCTGACAGTGGCACTGTCTCACTGGAGGCATTAAAGCTGTTTCTTTGAGCTGCAGCTCCTCGGAATAACCCTTGTCCGTCCGGGGCAGAGAGAGAGAACGTTAGCCCAGCTCTCTTGGTAGCAGGTAATGCTGTACAGATTAGATATCTTGTCGTAATGTCACTGTGTTAAAAGTCCTATTTTGGACTGAGCCAACTATAGATTTGCTTTTCTACCATACTGTCCAATGGGTTGACCTGGTGGCCGGGTTCTTTTTGTTACTTTGCAAATACTTTTTACTTTTTCAATAAACTGATTTCCGGAGAGCCTGGTGCTGCCACCATTGTTTTGTTTCTCAGGTGTAGAGGGTAACTCTTCCTGCCCTGCAGCACAGTTGTCCCAAAATCACCTCTCCCAACCTGCTTCAGGATCCTATTAGGCAGACGCAACCATGACACGGGAGCCACATGCTCAATGAAAAGAAAGATCCAAGAATCAACAAACTCATTGCAGCTGTCAAGGAAAAATAGAATGTCCGACGTGACGGCAGAGCATGGAGACAAGCCCCAGTCTTGCCTAGGCTGTTCCCCATCATGGGCACTCGCTGTCCACCTAGCCAGAGCTTGCTGAAGAGGGGTTACTCTAGCGGCTGCTCTGGTGAGAGGGAGTGGGTATAACACAGCAGCACTTGGGCATGTCCCCACGCCCTGAACCCTTGCATTGGGCCCTGTGCACCAGTACAAATCAAGCAGAGCTGTCCAAAGTGGGCAATGCACTTGCAGATCAAACGGCTAATCCTGGGAAGCCCCACCCCTCAGCAAAGGGCTCGCAGGGCAGCCCCACTCACTCAGCTCTGGGATGGGCACTGCTGGGTGGCTCCAGTATTATCCTCCCCTGTGGGCATCAGGGAGGGACGGGGCTGAGAGCGGGGGGCTGAATGAGGAGAGAGTGGCTTGGCATGGACCTCAGCAGCTGGTGAACATAGCCTGGTTAGCAGGTGGGGGCATGTGAGGGAGGGGCCTTTGACAAGAGGGCAGGGCTAAATCAGGTTGAACAGGGGGTTAAAAAAGCTGTCTCCCAGGTGAGCAGCAGAGGGAGGGAGTTTAGAGTAGCATTCCTGCCAGGTCCTGCGCCAAACAGAGTGAGCTGCCCAGGTAAGGAGCGTTTGGCTGGAGAAAGATTTCAGCAGCAGGGCAGGAGACCGAGGGTCTATAACCTGCCACAAAAAGCCGCCTATAAAAGAAACATGGGGGAGGATACATCTCACAAACATCCTCTAGACTTAGCCCAATTACCCTCAATAAATAACACCCCAAACTGGCTAGTGTGAAACGAAATCCAGGCTTGAACAGTGAGAGGATAGCAGTAGCAATATATTACTGACCACCTGACCAGGATGGTGACAGTGATTGTGAAATGCTCAGGTTGATTAGGGAAACTACAAAGGAAGAAAACAATAATAATGGGGGATTACAACTAGCCTCGTATTGACTTGGTATGTGCCACCTCAGGAAAGGATGCAGAGAGAACATTTCTAGACACCATAAATGACAGCGTTTGGAGCAGCATGTGCTAGAACCCACAAGGGGAGAGGTCATTCTTGATTTAGTCCTAAGTGGAGGGCAGGCTCTGGTCCAAGAGGTGAATATAGCTGAACTGCTCGGTAATAGTCACAAGGGTGAAATGCCTGCATATTGGAGGGAGACCTTTTAAAAACACCATAATAGAGGCTCAGACAAAATGTATATCCCAAATAAAAGAAAAAAAGTAAGAGGACCAACAAAATGCCACCATGGCTAAACAGCAGCGTAAAAGAGGCAGTTAGAGGCAAAAAAAAAAAAAAAAAAAAAAGCATCCTTTAAAAAGTGGACGTCAAATCCTAGTGAGGAAAATAGAAAGGAGCCTGAACTCTGGCAAATCAAGTGTAGAAGTGTAACTGGGCAGGCCCAGAAAGACGCTGAAGAGCAACGAGCAAAAGGCACAAAAACTAACAGCAACAACTGTTTAAGCACATCAGGAGCAGGAAGCTGCCAGTCAGTGGGGCACCTGGTGAACCAGGCACTAAAAGAGCACTCCAGGCAGACAAGGCCATTGCGGAGAAGCTACATTAATTTTTTGCATCAGTCTCCATGGCAGAGGATGTGAGGGCGATTCCCACACCGTAGCCATTCTTTATAGGTGACAAATCTGAGGAACTGTCCCAGATTGAGAAGTCAATAGCGGAGGTTTTGGAACAAACTGATAAATAAGAGTCACCAGAACCAGATGGCGTTTTTCATCCAAGAGTTCAGAAGAAACGCAGATACGAAATTGCAGAACTAACTGTGGTATGTAACCTACTGCTTAAATCAGCCTCAGTACTAGATGACTAGAGGGTAGCTAATGTAATGCCGATTTAAAAAAAAACAAACAAAACCCTCCAGAGGCAATCCTGGCAATTACAGGCTGGTAAGCCTAACTTCAGTATCAGGCTAACTGGTTAGAACGGAATGATCAGATTCACAGATGAACACGATACGCTGGGGAAAATCAACATGGTTTATGTACAGGGAAAATCATGCCTCACCAATCTATTAGCATTCTCGGAGGGATCAATAAACATGTGGACAAGGGTGATCCAGGCAGTATACTGTATTTGGGCTTTCAGAAGAAAAAAATAATAATGGAGATATCCTATCTCCTAGAACTGGAAGGGACCCCAACAGGTCATCAAGTCCAACCCCCTGCCTTTGCTAGCAGGACCAAGTACTGATTTTGCCCCAGCTCCCTAAGTGGCCCCCTTAAGGATTGAACTCACAACCCTAGGTTTAACAAGCCAATGCTCAAACCACTGAGCTATCCCTCCCTTTGACAAAGTCCCTCACCAAAGGCTCTTCAGCAAAGTAAGCAGTCATGGAATAAGGGGTAAGGTCCTCATGTGAATCAGAATTGCTAAAAAAAAAAAAAAAGGAAACAAAGGATAAGAATAAATGACCAGATTTCACAAGGGAGAGCTGTAAATAGCAGGGTCCCCTAAGGATTTGTACTGGGACCAGTGCTGTTCAACATATTCATAAATGATCTGGAAAAAGGAGTAAACATTGAGGTAGCAAAGTTTGCAGATGATACAAAATCACTTAAGATAGTCAAATCCAAAGCAAAGAGTTACAAAGGGATCTCACTAAATTGGGTGACTGGACAACAAATATGGCAGATGAAATTCAATGCTGATAAATGCAAAGTAATGCACATTGGAAAACATAATCCCAATTATACATACAAAATGATGGTCCTCTGAAAACATCCACTCAATGTGCAGCAGCAACCAAAAAAGCAAACATTAGGAAAGGGTTAGATAATAAAACAGAAAATATCATAATGCCACTTTATAAATCCATGGTATGCCCCATCTTGAATAGTGTGTGCAGTTCTGGTGTCCCTATCTCAAAATAGATATATTAGAATTGGAAAAGGTACAGAAAAGGGCAACAAAAATGATTAGGGTATGGAAGAGCTTCCATATGAGGAGAGATTAAAACGACTGGGACTGTTCATTTTAGAAAGGAAAAAACTAGGAGGGTATATGATAGAGGTCTATAAAATCATGAATGGTGGGGAGAAAGTGAATAGGAAAGTGTTATTTAACCCTTTCACATAAGACAAGAACCAGATGTTACCCAATGAAATTAACAGGCAGCTTTAAAATGAATAAAAGGAAGTGTTCCTTCGCACAACGCACAGTCAACCCATGGAACTCGTTCCCAGGGCATGCTGTGAAGGCCAAAGTATAACTGGGTTGAAAAAGGAACTAGATAAGTTCGTGGAGGACAGGTCCATCGATGGCTATTAGCCAAGATGGTCAGGGATGCAACCCCATGCTCTGGGTGTCCCTAAACCTCCAAGTCCCAGATGCTGGGAATGGGTGACGGGACGGGAGGGATCACTAGATAGATGCCCTGGTCTGTTCATTCCCTCTGGGGCACCTGGCACTGGCCACTCCTGGAGACAGGACACTGGGCTGGATGGACCTTGGTCTGACCCAGTCTGGCCCTTCTTACGTCATGTCTCTTTCCCCAGCAGAGGGGTCGGTGCTGGCGGTGGTGGGGGGCTCTTTGCTCA